GTTTGAGGCAATCTCTCGTCCATATGCGTTTTTGCATCTCATTAACAAAATCGCGGCTTTCCCTTATTTCGTTTTGATATCAGATATCTTACAAAAATAAATCATTCCAATCCGACTGAAGTTTTTGATTCATCAGAAAAAACGAAAATTTCGAAGTTTTTGTGAAAAGAATATTATTACAACATCTGGCAAGTATGTGTAAAAAAACAAATTATTAACGAGAATTTAAACAACCGGACAGAGAAACGATTACTTCTTCGTAGGGAACAAGATAAGCATTGAATTATATAAGTTGAGCTTGCTGAAAATTATACCCGATATCCCAGGTCCCACTACTTTCCTTTTTCTGGTAAAGCATTCCCGATACTACAGTATCGTAATCAAATTGTTCCAATCCAAGACCTGCAAAAAACTGTCTGAAGAAACCTTTGTTACGTTGCCTACAACATAACAGAAGAAAATTCCTGTGCAAAAATGGATGCGGATGCGCGTAAGAGGGTCATTTTACTCGCTTTTTTGCTTTCAATGAATTTTTACCGTTATTATCGCATAATTCCTGGTTTTTTTTTCTGATGATGAGTTTCCAAAGAATCCTACACGATCAAATAATGAGCAGCTCAATCAAGTTAGCCCAAAAATTAATTTTGCACCATTCTGAATTTATCACTAATTTACAAATAAATCATTTAATTGTAAGTGTCGCCATAACTAGTTAATTTTAAGAAATGAACAGAAAAAAGAGGATATCCGAAAATTGGAAAATCAAGTCGAAAGCGGGGAAAGATTGAAAAAAAAACTAAAATTCAGACAAATTAAGACTGTAAGGAAATTTTCAACTTTAACAATTTATTCGAACCATTTGCTGATGGTAACGGTGCAGTCATTCTCAGAGACGAAAAATTCAATTCTGCTGATAGGGGCAATCAAACCCTCTAAAAATTTCATCCATTTTGATAACAAACTGTTATTGGCGCAAACGAGGAAGCTAGTCACCAGTTTGCTCTTGAGCTAACGGGAAAGAGGAATCCACCGGAAACCAGTCAGTGAATGGTTGCTGCTGGTATATATCACCATTCGGGTTATTTCCGAGCATCTTCGACTCTCACAGAAAGTGAGTTATGAAGGATGTTTTACTCGTATGTTTCT